AAATGAGGACCTAATGCCGGGGGCTTAAGTGGAGAGGAAATGTTTTGAGAATGATGAGGGCAATGAATGTACAAATGCGTTTACACAACTGATGTATGTATGGATTGTGATAAGAGTTGTATGAGCCCCTAATAAAATGATTTTTAAAAAAACAAAGAAAAGAAACACTCTACTGGTGTTTATCCCCGGCCTACAAGACACTAACTTCGGGATGCCTGATACCTCAAACTCTTCTCTCTCTCTCAGTCCTTACACAGCAATTCTTCCCTTTGGTTCTGTCACAGAGAATACAACAGAGATCACCATCCACTAAGAACTAGGGAACTCCCAGGCTCATTTCTTCCTCACCCCCTCCTGCAAATCTAATGAGTTAGATCTTAAAATCTTTCTAATCTATTCACTCATCCTTCTGCTTCTCCCACTGGCTTTTCATTTATGATCACCTTACAGCTCAAGAGGCTTACAAAATCTCCTTCTTGTCCACAATCTCTCCTGAAATATTATGTCTAGTTCCTAAAGGAATTTGAATCGAAGATTTATTTGGCTCCTTAGAAGCTGAGTTCCTGTATCCAGCCTTTATTTCTGCCACTCCCACCCCATGATCCAGCTATTTTTAAAATTATTTTCTTGCTCCTCCACATGGGCATGCACTTGCCCATATATTTACCTCCATCTTCCCCACAGCATTAGGTCAATTCCTGATGATCCTTTAACTTCAATAAGAAACAAATCATTCTCTTCTTTGTGTTACCTCAGTGTCATTGAATTATTTTCAGTTAAAATGAATCTGGCTACTCCTAAGTTTAAGGCGAATGCTATTTCATTCACTGTGTTTTGACACAGCATCTCGCACAAAGTCAGGGGTTAACCAACAATTTCTGAATGTAAACAGATCTACAACTGAGATAAGGGTGGACTCCTGGATAGAATCATCATGCTCCCAAAGATCTATGTTTGGGATCAAAGTGCAAATAATTACTCAGGGCCAACTTGGGCTGAGGACTTAAAAACTGTATCTCTATTTGAAAAACAAAACAAAACCACCTTCCTTTTGCTAAGTGAATATATACACTTGGGTGGCAGAAACTACTACTGGGTCTAAAACCTATGGCACTACCTTCAACTTAAGATTACCTTTGGGACAGATAAATCCCTCAGGACCAATAATGAGAATAGCAACACCAGTAGGATAAAGGGAAGGTAGGGGGAACAGATCACAATGATCTACATATACCCCCCCAGGGGGGACAGACAACAGAAAAACTGGTCAGTGTAAGATGACATTGGTCAGTGTAAGACGACAAAATAATAACAATTTATAAATTATCAAGGGTTTGTGAAGGAGGGAGGAGGGATAAAATGAGAAGCTGATCTCAAGGGCTGAAGTAGAACACCAATGTTTTGAGAATGATAAGGGCCAACAAATGTACAAATGTGCTTGACACAATGGATGGATGGATGGATTGTGATAAAAGTTACATGAACCCCCAATAAAATAATTAAAAGAAAGAAGAAAATGCTCTAAAATGTATTATGGTGATGATTGTTCAACCCTTTTAAGAGGTATAAATGATTAAACTGTATGTTATGTAAATTACATGTCAATACTACAACTATTGAAATGTTTCAAATCTTAAGAACAAAGCACATAACAAAGTAAAAATAAAGACTGTCACCAAAAACAAATAAAAAGAATATCTTTGATATACTAAGTCACAAGCAATTTCTTTTCACAGTTCAAAAGCAGAAGCAAACAAGCAGAATCATTTTCCCTAATCAAGCTCTCAAAGATAAAGTTATAGATTGCTCTATTGAGTAGTTTACCTTGGAATTACTATTTTATTTTTGTATAACCTAATTAAAAATGTAGAATTTGAAAATGCAGAAAATTTAGGTATCACATTATATTACTAAATCCAATTCATATTAAGATGAGTTGTTCTTGACCACAGATGATAAAACACTATGAATGGCTGTTTCTATAGTGATAAAATTAGTATCTTTCAAAACTGTGGAGAGATGGAAACACTGAAAGAGGATTAAGCAATTATTCTTGCATGGTCACTTCATAACTTCTAGCAGAATTTAGGAAATAAGAATTAGCTTTAAAAGATACTAATAGTGTATCAAAAGCTAACACTAAATAGTGGTGAATTTATAATATATAGTTTAGTAACCAAAGTTACCCTAATTTGGTTTTAAAAACCACAGATATCACACCTCTCTCAGCACCTTCCACCTTCGTTATGTGAAGCCTACTTGCTCTTGGTTACTATCACCAAACAATGCTACTGAATAGTTTATAAAACATGTACAAAAATTTCTGATGTCCTGGAAATAAGCAAAAAATATTCATGTAGGAAGAGAGCTACCATGACACTAAGACACAGAAAGATATATTCATGTAGGAAGAGAGCTACCATGACACTAAGACACAGAAAGATCTACTCCAAATTAAAATGTGGTAATACCTGAAACAGCCTTGGAATTCCTCCAGTATTGTAGTGAACCACTAGGTTGATTTTATTCTCTTTTTCCACAATTTCAAAGGTTCCTTCTTTCCACTTAGTAATCCCAGTTTGCATACTTCGAATTCTGATAGGACCGTGTATCTTCAGAGGAGACATCCTCTCTTTAAAAATAAATTGCTTCTTGCCAAATTAAAAGAAAAATACCTTCACCTGACAGGTTCTAAGGAAGGAAAACACAGTAAAACAATAGGTTATAATTTACTAGTGACCAAAATTAGGAGCTTTAACGAGAACATTTAATATATCATCTTATTGTCCCTTTCCCCATTTCAATTAACCACTTTTATCAAGTATCCTCAAAGGCTCTAGATGCTCAGCAACACAATGAAAACTAGAGTCTGTGACAGTCAGCCACTACCTTTAGTCAACTTATATTTCCACTGTGCATGTTCTTATCTTGGCGTCCTGTTCAGTACTGGTGCCTAAATTTGGCATTTTGGACCCCAACACCCATATTACAACAAAGACCTGCCAATAAGAATACCATGGCTGCTATGCCCAATGTGATCCTCACCACACTGTGACCATTTAAGTATCCATTCTTGTCTTGCACTTAAGTATGGAATCAGTCATCTAAAATGGCTACAGCAAATGTTTCACATCTCTAAAAACACTGCCTCTAAATCGATTGTTGCTTATAGTTTAATAAGTTAAAATTATATCTGCTTGAACAACTCAACTAGAAAAGCTAGAAACTGTCTATAAAATAAAAAGACTGTAGGCCTGTAAATCAAGAGATCTCTATCACTTGATAACTTTTATTACATCTGTAACCCTTGTGATGTTGTCAGGTAAGATGAAATCCGCAAGGTCCTTGAACTGAAAGGTCTGCAGTTCAAGTCTACCTGAGGGTCTAAGGGAAAACGATGAGGCTCTCTATTCCTATGATTCACAGCCTCAAAAAGCTTACGGAATGCTATAAGTCAGAATTGACTCAATGGCAGTGGGTATTTTCAGTTTCCTCTAACACCTAGCTATTATAGCTGCTGTCTATAAAACTAATAAATAATATTTATTTTCTGAGTTTATTCTTTATCTAAACCTTTTTCCAAAGGCCCCAGACAAATAAGTGTTGACAGGGTCACCAAATGAACTGCCTAAAGGAACCAGGCAGGTGACATCAATGACTCAAGCAAGGAAAATATGAACCGCTACTCAAATCTCAACAACTGTTACTATGTAGAAGCAGTGAATCTTTGTTAAATCATCTAATTCTTTCAAGAAAATGGAAACAAAATTTTTACATAAAACTGCCCACTTTTGGGTGCCCGCTCTACTGGCACAATCACTGTAGATATACGTGTGCATAAGCAAATGTGGTGAAGAGAGCTACCAGTGCCCTGCTATCAAAAGATATAGTGTCTAGGGTCTTAAAGGCTTGAAGATAAACAAGTGGCCATCTAGCTGAGAAGCATCAAAGCCAACATGAAAGAAGCACACCAACCTGTTTGACCACGAGGTGCAGAAAGGACCAGTTATCAGACATCAAAGAACTAAAAATCAGATCA